ATACGAAGTCCTTACATTTAATTCACTTCTTAGACCGTCATCACTAGTAGTCTGGCCCTGCGAGATGACTTTTGAACAGTACATGGCTAGGCCAAATGAAGAATGGGGGTTTTGGCAAAAGGATAAAAACAATTCCACATGTGTAGTGTTTTGAGCAGATGCCCTGCTTATAACTTACCCAATAACAGCTAAAAAGATCAAGAGGACGGTAAGAACAAGTAAGTCTCTTTCTCGAAATCGTCATATTTTCAGGTTTATGTCCGTTTCGTCAGTGTCGTTTAACACAGACGTTAACATCAGATATGAGAGACTATCACATGAGTATGCGAAAGTGAGTTAGTTCAAGCTTGCTTTGTTTTTCGATTTCAAATGCTCCTAAACTTCTGTCAAATCAGAAATTATCTGTATTTTAAGTTTTTATTAGTGTTCTTTGTATTTGAATTTGCTTAAGCTGCGATCTCATGTGAAAGTGCTCAGCGAAGGGGTGATCTCAGAGAGAAAGAAGAACGACAGTTTGAACGTGGGTTGTAGTACTTTTTATTCTTACCATCGTATATGGTGCCTTCCATGTTTAATCATGTTTTCGTTCTGCAGGAAACTATCAGAGAACTGGAAGTACAACTACGAAAAGTTGAGGCTGAAAACGAAAGTCTCACGTTTCGAAACGATCAACTCGTTAAGCGTGTAGAGAGCCTTCAAGATGAGTTGGAGGCTTTAATTCATGGGAAAGCAGGAACACTCAAGGTAGTCTGCCAGCTATTAACGCATTCCATTTACTTATCAAATGTAGAAAATCGTTAAGAAAGGAAAGTTACCGAAGAAATCAAAAGACACGAAAGAGTTGCTCAACGAGATCGGAACACTTGAAGGTCGTGTGGCAGTATTGGAGGAAGAACTGCAGAACAAAATACGGCAAAACATGGAACTGACCAGCCAGGTGCGAGTGTTTGTCCGTTGTATTTCTTGCTTTTGCCTGTTTTTTTTTGATTATTTGCTTCTTACACCTGTCGCTCTCAACTTTCGTCCATTTTGTATGTGGGAGATATAGAGAAGCCGAGCACAAAAGGGACTGCTCGGCTTGAATTCTCCTTTGAAGACAAAGCTGCGATGAAACGGATGCTTCATGGAAGCGGAAAGATGGGTACGGGGAGGGTGAAGGAGCGCCCAAACAGGATCTACCATCCTTGTTCAATTCAAAGATTTTACGACCCCCTCTTAGGTCTAGACAGGACCCCAACACTCGAATCACCACCATCAGCCATCACCCTCACTACATAATATGTACGGCTGTATCTCTCCAATACATTTTTCTTCAATGTAAGGAGGCGAGGATCAAGGAGCATTAAAGTGACCTTGTAGGTACCTTGCTAGTACGCCGAAGTACCTTGCTTCTAGCAAATGAGTCTTGGAAAATTGCACCAGTGGCCTATTTTATTGTTATTGTATGGATTGGAACCTAAATCTCTTAGATGTGTGATCTCGAACAGAAGCATGCTGACGAATTATCTTCTCTATCGAACGACTTTGCTCGGAAACTAGAACAAGCTGAAGCTCGCCGATTCGATTCTGATAGAAGAATAGAGCATAGGCCGGAGAGACCCGTGAAGTCGGTGAAACCACTGGAGCAGTCTATGGAGGTGGAGTGCCCTTATGGTTCCTTTATCATTACGCCTTACTTATCTGAGATTTTTTCGTTATCTGCTTCCCATTTAGGTCAACAATATTCTATCGCAAACACCTTCGCCGCAGCCTCCACCGATCAACGAGGCGTATCTCCAAGTGGCAGAGTCAATCAGAAATACTTTGCAAGGTGAGATCTTTGTGTCTTCTGAAATTGTTTTGGTGTTGTAGTCGGTTTCATCTGAAGCGTTCCACAATACGAATCAGTTATATTTAACTCATTGCAGGTCTGTCAACATTGTTCGAACTTCTTTATCAGCGCACTCAGATATATCCATTTGATTCTTCGTTGGAACCCCTCCCCAATCATGTGAAGAAGGTGAGCTAATGAACGATCTACTCTTCCCTCTATTCTAAATAACGAAAACGTTCAGTGCCATAATTTTGCAGTTATCGTCAGAATTGGCTCAGTGCTCGCAGTTATTGACAGCTCCAATCGATGCTGTTCAACAGTGCATACTCAAAGCCGAGTTTGAGGTACTTCCTTACATTCGGTATTTTTTTTACGCTCGAATTTCTTTATAAACATTTTCGAGCTTTAATTTGTTCTAGATGTCGACGAGACGTTCCTCAGTTGCATACTTCTCTAAAAGTGGTTGCGCGACATTGTAGAGTGATGATGCCCGAGTTACTGAAGCGCCTTGCCGCTGAAGAAACAAGGTATTTCTTTTTCGTCAAATTTATAGAATATGTGTTATCACTCTGCTTAATTTAAACTCGTTCCCTAGTTTTGATGAGCTAGAACGGTATTTATGCAGGTCACGTGGTGCGATTCACAACTAGAGGAATTGAATAATGCATGGTGTACCAGTATGGGTCGTCTTCTGGTGGTCATGGATTCTATCTGTTCCGCATTGGCACTGACCACATCATCGACTGAGAATGCAGGAGAGAAGTTGTGTGAGACGCTGCTGGAAGAGGGGACTAATATCATTGTAAAGGGTAGGTTATTTTTCCTTTCATTACATTTAGTGCTGCTCAAGCCTGGATGCCTTAGCTGGGACTTTTTCTGATTTTGATCCCATTTCTGCTTATTTTGATAACATTTCTTCTCTTTGGTCGGATGAGTTTTCCAGTCGTCGCGGTTTCGAAAGGAGGAGTTTTTGTTGCTTTTTTTGTGAAAACTGCTGTATCTCTCTCTCACAAGTTATCTCAAGTCTAGCAGTAATGCTATAATAGTTTCCAGGATTGGATAAACGTTCGCGACTAGATGGGCAGTGAAATCTCGATTTCCTACGGCTACTAAAAGGATCTGCTGTATTGGGACAGCCACTTCCCATTGTCTATCCCGATTGGTAACCGAAATGAGCAAGCTAACAGCAAGAGTTGAAGCAATAAATGGATTGGTTAGTTTTTTTTTCTTTTCGCCGTGTAACTGTGAAGAGACTGGTATGTAGCCCACATTCTGAAACTTCCCTTAGCTCAACTGTATATGAACCTGTCAGGGACGGGTTTTATGTTGGGAGCCTAACCAATCGATCTGCAGACTGATTTATGTTAGAGCAAACACGATCAGTAACAGGGACAAATCTCGTTAAAGATTGATGTTGAAGGAGAAGCGGAGCATGAAGAGCCCCTATGTTGCGCGAGCTAAAAATAGGTTGCCCACGTTGAGTTGCAAGCGCTCGACTGGTACTTTTGACCCTATACGACGCACCTTTTTTCTTGAATCTTCGTGAATGGCCTGGTTGATAGGTCCTGTACCAAGCCAGCTGCTGAAGTCTTTATTGTTATATTGAATGAATATTTCCCCTTTCTTCGTTACTGAACTAGGTGCTTTCTTTTCCACTTCCTTTCTTTCGTTTCTAGATCAAAACTTTGTACATAACCCCTATTCTATAACCACTTGAGCAGTCTTTTTCAGCTAGAATGTGATGAAAAAGGCGATGCGACTCCGGTGCGTGCGGTGCGATCTCCAGACACTTACAACCCTTTTGACGAAGACTGTGAATCTGATAATGAAGAGAACAGAAGCAAATCCGAGAGGAATCTGACTTGTAGTATAGGTAATTGGCTATTTACTTAATTTTTGATATATGTATGAGGTGATTGTAGTGCGTTGGGACAGTAGCGTATCACACGGTTTCTTCAGGGGTTGATACATCTGACCTTGTGGGTGGAATCACGGAGTCGCTTGATTCGCCATCTGTACCCCCGAATAGCTCGAATACTTCGATCTGCTCGAAATCGGAAAGTGTCTCAGATCAAATCATGGTAAGATTTGATTTAAACTTGTTGATGAAGTAGTACGTTTCCAGGCTACCGCTTTGGAATTCTTAAGCAAGTTCGTTTATTTCTTGAAATCACATGATTTTGTTGTGGCATTGTTCGAACAAAGTTATCAAGCACATGGATGTATGACCTTGATCACTCACTGTGAGTATCTTCCAGGTTGACTGCCTGAAGACCCGTGTGAGTGCTCTAGAATCAGAGCGTGAAGGGCATCTAGTCGATTTGTCCCTGCTTCGACGAAAGCTAGCGATGCTAGGTGTGAAGGAAGTGGAGTAAGTCTTGATGTTACAGTTCCTAATTATTTATTTTCTTACGAATCTTAGTTACCGACTTTGGTTATCTGATCCGCAATATTTTTTGCATACTGTATTTCAGAGACGACAGCCAT